TGAATACTAAACACACGTTATATACGATTTAATGGTTGTTACTGGTATTCAAACAAATAAATAAAATAAGATTTTCCCAAAAAAATGTAAAATTTGTTATTTATTTAATACATTTTTTACTTAAATAAATACTTGTATATTGTTATATTTTTCAAAATACAAAATAAACCACTTGTATTAAATAGAGCAATGGATTGTCCTGCTATTTAGACAAGAAAATCGATTGTTTTTTCTGAATGCGAAACACACGTTATATAGTATAAGATTTAATGGTTATTACTGGTATTCAAACAAATAAATAAATATGATTTTCCCAAAAAAATGTCAATTTTGTTATTTATTTAATAAATTTTTTACTTAAATATATACTTGTATATTGTTATATTTTTCAAAATACAAAATAAAGCACTTGAATTAAATAGAGCAATGGATTTTCCTGCTATTTAGACAAACATGCGAAACTACTTATAACATAACAAAACACGTTTAAAACTCGGAATTTATTATTTATTTAATAACTAACTCTTTCTAGTTTTGTTAATACATTTGTTAGTACTTGTAAGTTATCAAACTCCATTTTTTTATGACTCCTTGGAAATTCGTTAACAACTTATAATGGGTCCAGAAATGATAATATAAAATCTTAAATACTTAACAAATTATTAAAGCAAGTTTAACTTCTTTTGAATGAATGCTAAAATAAATTGGACTTTTAAAACTATATTCTTAAACTATATTTGGTAATTTGTTTGAATGCTATATGCTACTCCGATGGTCGTTTTATGCAAGGTAGGGCTACTTTGAAAGCATTCAATAAATATATTTTTTTGCATTTTAATAAATCATTCGTTTAGATTTGTATACAAAATTGTTTAAATTTTGTTTAAAACCCGTTACAAATGATTTTATAGCATAATTTCTTATAATAAATTCATTTTGTAAGCAAAATTATTGACCATTAAAGAATAATGTTTCACTTTGAGTGCCATTTAAAAATGAACTCACAAAAGTATCTAACACAAACTTAAGTTTATTAAACTCTGTCAAGCTTATAGATATTATTAAATTGCATTTCAAATGATTTTTTTTACATCTAATCATTTTTCGAAGCAAATTACCTTTTAGATTGCCATAAACTTAGCTGTCGAGAACGACCAATGCCACATTCATTTGTATACCGCCCTCCTCCACGATTCTCATAAAAATGGGTGACTAAAAATTCGTAAAATTTCTGAAAGCAAACCGTTTTATAATTTTACAAGTGTGAAAGTGAAGTTAAAAGAAATGTCTGATTCTATCGTAGCTGTTACATCGGCCGCCTCTCCGATTGCCATTGCACAAGCGGAGAAAAAGGTCACTGTCAAGAAGGCAACTGCCGCCAAATCGAAAAAAGCTACAGCTCCACCATCACATCCGCCAACCCAGCAAATGGTCGACGCGTCAATCAAGAATTTGAAGGAGCGCGGTGGGTCATCACTTTTGGCAATTAAAAAGTACATTAGTGCCACATATAAATGCGATGCCCAGAAATTGGCCCCGTTCATTAAGAAATATTTGAAGTCAGCTGTTGCAAATGGAAAACTCATCCAAACAAAAGGCAAAGGCGCATCTGGTTCGTTTAAATTATCTGCGGCCGCTAAAAAAGAGCCAAAGCCAAAAGTCAGTTCCGTCGAGAAAAGTAAGAAAAAAGTTGCACCATCTGGAGCAGCTAAAAAGAAGTCGAGCGGCGTCGCCAAGAAGGCCTCTGCAGCCGGTGACAAGAAATCTAAAGTTAAAAAATCTGTTGCCACTAAAAAGACTGCCGAGAAAAAGACAAAGGAGAAGGCAAAGGCAAAAGACGCAAAGAAAAGTGGTACAGTTAAGGCAAAATCAACTACATCGAAGCCTAAATCGAGTGCTGTAAAACCAAAAACTCCAAAGGCCAAAACTACTACTACTAGTGCCAAGCCAAAGAAGACAGCATCGGCACCGAAAAAACCAAAGGCTGCAGCTTCCGCCAAAAAGGCAAAGACAGCAGTAGTCAAGAAATGAATGCATATGTGAAATTTTGTATATGCAAATATAAAAATTCATTTGAAACAAAGCCCTTTTCAGGGCTACAAACAACTAAGAAAGAGAAAAAATAATTTTCAAATGTGATTTAAATGGTTTCAAATAATCTTATCTTTTTCTAATTTTGTTAATATATTTGTTATTACTTCTAGGTGTACAAGTATATGTATGAAAAATTTAACAATTTTTGTTTAAAACTGTTACAAAGGGTTTTAGACCATAATTTGTTAGTTAATTTTGTAACAAAAATAATGAGAATTGAAAAATGTTTCACTTTGAGCACAAAAGTTTAAAAAAAAACGTATATTAATAAAATTAATAAATAATTTAATCATTTTTCGAAGCAAATTACGATAAACTTAGCTGATGCAAATACAATGGAATTGTATACGGTCCGGTCCTCCTCCACGATTCTCATAAAAATGGGTGACTAAAAATTGTTTTGTTTCAGTCGATTTCAAGCAATAAGAACTGCATATCATATAGGTGAACGATATGATTTGTAAAAATAGTTTGTTTATAAATATTGACCAAAATAGTTATATTAATATATATGTTCGCCCATTATAATAGATTTTGTTTTTTATCACAGTAAAGGGGTGCCATGTAAATTTTATTTAAAAGAAATGTATGAAAATTATTAACTCTGCTTATGAAAAATTTGATGGCCCTGAAAAGGGCCTTTTGGAACGTTGTTGCTGCTATGAAGCGGGCGATCAGACATTTACTTTGAGCTGGTGTACTTGGTAACGGCTTTGGTGCCTTCACTTACGGCGTGCTTAGCCAATTCACCGGGCAGAAGTAGGCGGACTGCCGTTTGGATTTCGCGACTCGTTATTGTCGATCGTTTATTATAGTGGGCCAAACGGGAAGCTTCAGCAGCAATGCGCTCGAAAATGTCATTCACAAAACTGTTCATGATGCTCATTGCCTTCGATGAAATGCCTGTATCAGGATGAACCTGCTTCAGAACTTTGTATATGTAGATGGCATAACTCTCCTTCCTCTTGCGCTTCTTCTTCTTGTCGTTCTTGGTTATATTTTTCTGGGCTTTACCAGCCTTTTTCGCTGCCTTTCCACTGGTCTTTGGCGGCATTTTTCACTTCAGATTAATTTAATTCACTTGAGTTAAAATAACACAACACTTCACAGTTGCTTTAGCAATATTTTTCTACCACTGAATTGCTACATATTTGTATATTTTTGTTTAACATCGCCTTCAGGTTTAACTTATAAGAAGCCGTCCAACCCTTAGCAGAGCGTATATGATGCTTAAAAAAGTATAAATATAAAGGCCTAACACTTGGTCGGACATCAACATTTGTGTGTGAGCCAGTGAGCCAGTGAGAAGTGTATTTGTGAAATAAAAAAAAAAAAAAATAGAAAATGTCTGGTCGTGGTAAAGGTGGTAAAGTAAAGGGAAAGGCAAAGTCGCGTTCGAATCGAGCTGGCCTTCAATTCCCAGTTGGCCGTATCCACCGCCTGCTTCGCAAGGGTAACTATGCTGAACGTGTTGGTGCCGGCGCTCCTGTTTACCTGGCTGCTGTTATGGAATATTTAGCCGCTGAAGTTCTGGAGTTGGCTGGCAATGCAGCACGCGATAATAAAAAGACGCGCATAATTCCACGTCACCTGCAACTGGCTATTCGTAATGACGAGGAGTTAAACAAGCTCCTCTCGGGCGTAACCATTGCTCAGGGTGGTGTTCTACCTAACATCCAGGCGGTGCTTTTACCTAAAAAGACCGAAAAGAAGGCTTAAATTGGCGGCAACCTTTAATAAATAAAAACAATACTGTATATAAAACCAACCGTCCTTTTCAGGACGACCAATTTAATTCAGAAGAGATTTTAATTCATCATCATACAACGTGAATTTGAATAAAGTATAAATATGAAGGCTTAGCATTTGGTCGGGCAGCATGTCATGAACCGTAGAATATACTACTTGTATGTATATAATGCGTATTATATATTTTTAATTCGAAAGTATTTTTTATCCCTTTTGAATTTGGTCAATACGTATAATAATTACTTGAGTGCAAGTATTTATACTCGAATTTTTAACACTGCCAACGTTTGCCATATTTTACTCCTAAATTATGAAAATATAAATGGATGGAATGTAAGCTGTACAATATGTTTGTTTTTTTAAATATGCGTATGTAAAATAAAAGTATGAGTTGAATATTTTTCTCTTTTAAAAAAATATGTTGTGGTCCTGAAAAGGTTCAATATATTATGAAAATATAAATGAAGAGTATCGATTGTACAGCTTTTTGTAAAATAAAAGTATGATTTGAATATTTTTCTCTTTTAAAAATATATGTTGTGGTCCTGAAAAGGACCGATTGTTTTCTTTATTTGCACATTTGGGCAAATGTAACTTCTTAACCGCCGAAACCGTAAAGGGTGCGGCCTTGTCTTTTTAATGCATATACAACATCCATAGCTGTGACTGTTTTCCTTTTGGCATGTTCCGTATAGGTGACAGCATCACGAATAACATTCTCCAAAAACACCTTGAGCACACCACGGGTCTCTTCATAAATTAAGCCAGAGATGCGTTTTACACCGCCACGTCGAGCCAAACGACGGATAGCTGGCTTTGTGATACCCTGAATGTTATCACGCAATACTTTGCGATGACGTTTTGCGCCACCCTTGCCCAAGCCTTTGCCACCTTTACCACGACCAGTCATTTCTCACTAATTCACTTTAACTGCACAAAATTCACAACGAAACTAACGCTGTTGCGGCCACATACGCTCGTATTTATACAAAAATAACACGAAAACACGAGCGAGTCGGATAATCTTCCTATCTCTCTTTCGCACATCTCGTTCAAACAACCACCAATCGCATTGTGCGGCCAAATTTCTATATAAAGAAGGCGCAAAGCAAGCAATACGAATATTGTGTTTTCATCAGTGACAGTGTATACAGTGTAGTAGATTAGTACGGAATAAATACTTGTATAATGGCTCGCACCAAGCAAACTGCCCGAAAATCGACCGGTGGCAAAGCGCCTCGCAAGCAGCTGGCTACCAAAGCTGCTCGTAAAAGTGCACCAGCCACCGGTGGTGTAAAAAAGCCACATCGTTATCGCCCCGGTACAGTTGCACTTCGTGAGATCCGCCGCTACCAAAAAAGCACTGAGCTATTGATTCGCAAACTGCCATTCCAGCGTTTGGTTCGTGAGATAGCTCAGGACTTTAAAACTGATTTGCGATTCCAAAGTTCAGCGGTAATGGCATTACAGGAAGCTAGCGAAGCCTATCTGGTTGGTCTTTTTGAAGATACAAATTTGTGCGCAATTCATGCCAAGCGTGTTACAATCATGCCCAAGGACATTCAATTGGCCAGACGTATTCGTGGTGAACGTGCATAAGTTGAAATTGCAGCGCTTCATTTTCCAAATTATAAAATCAATAATCGGTCCTTTTCAGGACCACAAATAGGCTAACAAAGAGATTAACTATTGCTTGGTATACAGCATTTTTCGTTTTATATTATGATTATTTACATTTATTCCATTATTTACACAAATGCCTGGCATTTCACATAACAATGCAAATATATAAATATGAAGTCATATACTTGTATATGTATTTTTCATTCATCAAGTAAATTAAATCATGCTATTGCGATTATCATTTTCTCAATTAAAAGAAATATACATTGAGAAAATCGATTGTTTTTTCTGAATACTGAACACACGTTATATACGATTTAATGGTTGTTACTGGTATTCAAACAAATAAATAAAATATGATTTTCCCAAAAAAATGTAAAATTTGTTATTTATTTAATAAATTTTTTACTTAAATAAATACTTGTATATTGTTATATTTTTCAAAATACAAAATAAACCACTTGTATTAAATAGAGCAATGGATTGTCCTGCTATTTAGACAAGAAAATCGATTGTTTTTTCTGAATGCGAAACACACGTTATATAGTATAAGATTTAATGGTTATTACTGGTATTCAAACAAATAAATAGAATATGATTTTCCCAAAAAAATGTCAAATTTGTTATTTATTTAATAAATTTTTTACTTAAATAAATACTTGTATATTGTTATATTTTTCAAAATACAAAATAAAGCACTTGAATTAAATAGAGCAATGGATTTTCCTGCTATTTAGACAAACATGCGAAACTACTTATAACATAACAAAACACGTTTAAAACTCGGAATTTATTATTTATTTAATAACTAACTCTTTCTAGTTTTGTTAATACATTTGTTAGTACTTGTAAGTTATCAAACTCCATTTTTTTATGACTCCTTGGAAATTCGTTAACAACTTATAATGGGTCCAGAAATGATAATATAAAATCTTAAATACTTAACAAATTATTAAAGCAAGTTTAACTTCTTTTGAATGAATGCTAAAATAAATTGGACTTTTAAAACTATATTCTTAAACTATATTTGGTAATTTGTTTGAATGCTATATGCTACTCCGATGGTCGTTTTATGCAAGGTAGGGCTACTTTGAAAGCATTCAATAAATATATTTTTTTGCATTTTAATAAATCATTCGTTTAGATTTGTATACAAAATTGTTTAAATTTTGTTTAAAACCCGTTACAAATGATTTTATAGCATAATTTCTTATAATAAATTCATTTTGTAAGCAAAATTATTGACCATTAAAGAATAATGTTTCACTTTGAGTGCCATTTAAAAATGAACTCACAAAAGTATCTACACAAACTTAAGTTTATTAAACTCTGTCAAGCTTATAGATATTATTAAATTGCATTTCAAATGATTTTTTTTACATCTAATCATTTTTCGAAGCAAATTACCTTTTAGATTGCATAAACTTAGCTGTCGAGAACGACCAATGCCACATTCATTTGTATACCGCCCTCCTCCACGATTCTCATAAAAATGGGTGACTAAAAATTCGTAAAATTTCTGAAAGCAAACCGTTTTATAATTTTACAAGTGTGAAAGTGAAGTTAAAAGAAATGTCTGATTCTATCGTAGCTGTTACATCGGCCGCCTCTCCGATTGCCATTGCACAAGCGGAGAAAAAGGTCACTGTCAAGAAGGCAACTGCCGCCAAATCGAAAAAAGCTACAGCTCCACCATCACATCCGCCAACCCAGCAAATGGTCGACGCGTCAATCAAGAATTTGAAGGAGCGCGGTGGGTCATCACTTTTGGCAATTAAAAAGTACATTAGTGCCACATATAAATGCGATGCCCAGAAATTGGCCCCGTTCATTAAGAAATATTTGAAGTCAGCTGTTGTAAATGGAAAACTCATCCAAACAAAAGGCAAAGGCGCATCTGGTTCGTTTAAATTATCTGCGGCCGCTAAAAAAGAGCCAAAGCCAAAAGTCAGTTCCGTCGAGAAAAATAAGAAAAAAGTTGCACCATCTGGAGCAGCTAAAAAGAAGTCGAGCGGCGTCGCCAAGAAGGCCTCTGCAGCCGGTGACAAGAAATCTAAAGTTAAAAAATCTGCTGCCACTAAAAAGACTGCCGAGAAAAAGACAAAGGAGAAGGCAAAGGCAAAAGACGCAAAGAAAAGTGGTACAGTTAAGGCAAAATCAACTACATCGAAGCCTAAATCGAGTGCTGTAAAACCAAAAACTCCAAAGGCCAAAACTACTACTACTAGTGCCAAGCCAAAGAAGACAGCATCGGCACCGAAAAAACCAAAGGCTGCAGCTTCCGCCAAAAAGGCAAAGACAGCAGTAGTCAAGAAATGAATGCATATGTGAAATTTTGTATATGCAAATATAAAAATTCATTTGAAACAAAGCCCTTTTCAGGGCTACAAACAACTAAGAAAGAGAAAAAATAATTTTCAAATGTGATTTAAATGGTTTCAAATAATCTTATCTTTTTCTAATTTTGTTAATATATTTGTTATTACTTCTAGGTGTACAAGTATATGTATGAAAAATTTAACAATTTTTGTTTAAAACTGTTACAAAGGGTTTTAGACCATAATTTGTTAGTTAATTTTGTAACAAAAATAATGAGAATTGAAAAATGTTTCACTTTGAGCACAAAAGTTTAAAAAAAACGTATATTAATAAAATTAATAAATAATTTAATCATTTTTCGAAGCAAATTACGATAAACTTAGCTGATGCAAGTACAATGGAATTGTATACGGTCCGGTCCTCCTCCACGATTCTCATAAAAATGGGTGACTAAAAATTGTTTTGTTTCAGTCGATTTCAAGCAATAAGAACTGCATATCATATAGGTGAACGATATGATTTGTAAAAATAGTTTGTTTATAAATATTGACCAAAATAGTTATATTAATATATATGTTCGCCCATTATAATAGATTTTGTTTTTTATCACAGTAAAGGGGTGCCATGTAAATTTTATTTAAAAGAAATGTATGAAAATTATTAACTCTGCTTATGAAAAATTTGATGGCCCTGAAAAGGGCCTTTTGGAACGTTGTTGCTGCTATGAAGCGGGCGATCAGACATTTACTTTGAGCTGGTGTACTTGGTAACGGCTTTGGTGCCTTCACTTACGGCGTGCTTAGCCAATTCACCGGGCAGAAGTAGGCGGACTGCCGTTTGGATTTCGCGACTCGTTATTGTCGATCGTTTATTATAGTGGGCCAAACGGGAAGCTTCAGCAGCAATGCGCTCGAAAATGTCATTCACAAAACTGTTCATGATGCTCATTGCCTTCGATGAAATGCCTGTATCAGGATGAACCTGCTTCAGAACTTTGTATATGTAGATGGCATAACTCTCCTTCCTCTTGCGCTTCTTCTTCTTGTCGTTCTTGGTTATATTTTTCTGGGCTTTACCAGCCTTTTTCGCTGCCTTTCCACTGGTCTTTGGCGGCATTTTTCACTTCAGATTAATTTAATTCACTTGAGTTAAAATAACACAACACTTCACAGTTGCTTTAGCAATATTTTTCTACCACTGAATTGCTACATATTTGTATATTTTTGTTTAACATCGCCTTCAGGTTTAACTTATAAGAAGCCGTCCAACCCTTAGCAGAGCGTATATGATGCTTAAAAAAGTATAAATATAAAGGCCTAACACTTGGTCGGACATCAACATTTGTGTGTGAGCCAGTGAGCCAGTGAGAAGTGTATTTGTGAAATAAAAAAAAAAAAAAAATAGAAAATGTCTGGTCGTGGTAAAGGTGGTAAAGTAAAGGGAAAGGCAAAGTCGCGTTCGAATCGAGCTGGCCTTCAATTCCCAGTTGGCCGTATCCACCGCCTGCTTCGCAAGGGTAACTATGCTGAACGTGTTGGTGCCGGCGCTCCTGTTTACCTGGCTGCTGTTATGGAATATTTAGCCGCTGAAGTTCTGGAGTTGGCTGGCAATGCAGCACGCGATAATAAAAAGACGCGCATAATTCCACGTCACCTGCAACTGGCTATTCGTAATGACGAGGAGTTAAACAAGCTCCTCTCGGGCGTAACCATTGCTCAGGGTGGTGTTCTACCTAACATCCAGGCGGTGCTTTTACCTAAAAAGACCGAAAAGAAGGCTTAAATTGGCGGCAACCTTTAATAAATAAAAACAATACTGTATATAAAACCAACCGTCCTTTTCAGGACGACCAATTTAATTCAGAAGAGATTTTAATTCATCATCATACAACGTGAATTTGAATAAAGTATAAATATGAAGGCTTAGCATTTGGTCGGGCAGCATGTCATGAACCGTAGAATATACTACTTGTATGTATATAATGCGTATTATATATTTTTAATTCGAAAGTATTTTTTATCCCTTTTGAATTTGGTCAATACGTATAATAATTACTTGAGTGCAAGTATTTATACTCGAATTTTTAACACTGCCAACGTTTGCCATATTTTACTCCTAAATTATGAAAATATAAATGGATGGAATGTAAGCTGTACAATATGTTTGTTTTTTTAAATATGCGTATGTAAAATAAAAGTATGAGTTGAATATTTTTCTCTTTTAAAAAAATATGTTGTGGTCCTGAAAAGGTTCAATATATTATGAAAATATAAATGAAGAGTATCGATTGTACAGCTTTTTGTAAAATAAAAGTATGATTTGAATATTTTTCTCTTTTAAAAATATATGTTGTGGTCCTGAAAAGGACCGATTGTTTTCTTTATTTGCACATTTGGGCAAATGTAACTTCTTAACCGCCGAAACCGTAAAGGGTGCGGCCTTGTCTTTTTAATGCATATACAACATCCATAGCTGTGACTGTTTTCCTTTTGGCATGTTCCGTATAGGTGACAGCATCACGAATAACATTCTCCAAAAACACCTTGAGCACACCACGGGTCTCTTCATAAATTAAGCCAGAGATGCGTTTTACACCGCCACGTCGAGCCAAACGACGGATAGCTGGCTTTGTGATACCCTGAATGTTATCACGCAATACTTTGCGATGACGTTTTGCGCCACCCTTGCCCAAGCCTTTGCCACCTTTACCACGACCA